AAGGCGAAAAAGGCCGAGATCAACTATGCCAAACAGAAGTACAAGGCCATCGCAAAGGCAGAGTCCTTCAAGGCAAGGCATCCGGATTACTTCGGCAAGTATCCCAAGAAGGACGTTCCGTACTACTGGAAAGTCAAGGCAGCCAAGGCCAAGGCCTACTACGACGGGAAGAAGTACCAGGCCGAGGCAGCAGCAGCAGCTTTCAAATGGAAGCACCCAGAGATCTTCGGCAAACACTACCGGTAGTGAGGCTTTGAAGGCAGCCAGTAGTCGCTTGCAGAAATGCTTTTGAGATAATGCCGTGTCAAATTGCAAGTAATTTTGGAACACTTTTAAAGCAAGGCACAGAAGAGTATACGTTTCACAGATGGAAGACGCCCGGTTGTTGGACTCCTGAGCCATTTCACTTGAGTGCCTTGTGTCTCCAAACTGGCCAGCCGACAGCAAGGAGCCCTCCGAATGGAGGTCTACGCTTTCTGGTGAGATGCAGATGCCACCGTGGCACAAGCAGCGGAGTGCTTGTTGTGCCGATTCCAGCCGGGTGTGCTGTTGATTCTCCTCCTTGGTTCTCAAGACTCCAGACTACCACCAATATCTTGTGTTTCTCATTGTATTGATCTTCATCGTCCTCTTTCTCTTGTTTTTTGTACGACGATGCAGACCTGGTATTAATAGGGGCTGACGTCCCAAAGAGCCAGCATGTCGGAGAAACTTTGTGCGCAGAAAATCGAGAGGCCGTGCTTTCTGTCCATGTAGCCGCGCACGCAACGCCTGTTTTCCGCACCGCGACAAGTGAGTGGAGCGTGTTGCTCGGAGCGGACGCCGAGGTATGAGGCTGGGTGGGGAGGGATGGGGGTGGTAGGTGGAGGGTTGGGGGGTTGGGAGGAGGGTAAGTATCGGAGGTAGAGAGGGGCTGGGCAGGGTGGGGGTGAGGGTATGAGTAAGAGCCGGAGGGCCAAATAAAGGGGCAGGGTTTGGCGATCCAAACGTGTATTTCTCACATTTCTGAGTTGCACAAAGAAAACGAAACCAGGCTTTTTCTAGAGGAAGGGTAGGGGGTTAGAGAGGAGGTAGGTGCGGGACGGAGGGGTGCCAGATTGAGAGGCGGTGGGGGACGGAGTAGGGAGTCTAGGTACCCGAAGGCTGGAAGTGGTGATATATGCAGCAATAGCTTGGGGGAAGCTGAACAGCATCTGGCAGATTGGCGAGTCATCCGAGGTTTGCCTTGGACAACAGACGGCTCTACTCACTGCAGCAGACACCTCAGACTGTCCATGGTATTGACATGTTTCGCGACATCCAATAGCAGCAGTTCCACTCCGCACGTCAAGGGAGTCCCGATGTTGCGACAGGTAGTTGGGTCAGCGAAGCGGCGCAGGAGTAGGCAGAGAGGCGGTAGTAGGAGGAGGTACACCTGTGTCGTTGTACGGCAGTATCACGGATGCTGTGTGTCTTGTGACGCTTCTTTCTTACTCCTCCCGAAAGGCCCAACTGTTCGGGTGGCCTGTGGCCTTGGGCGGAACTCAACTTTCATGCCCGAGAAGGAGGAGGGAGAGAAAGAGAGAAACAGCTTCTTCTCGTATTGAAAGGAGCCGATCGAACCTAACACTTGATCGCGTGCGCAGGGGGTCAAAAACGCCACGGGATCAGAGTGGTGCCAGGCTTGGGTGCAGCCCATCCCCGCGGGATGCACCGCCGTACGGCGTCGAGGGTCCCTTCACGTCGCGTGTCGCAACCAACAAACGCACTCTGCGAGCGCAGTCGTAGGTGAAGGGCCGCTGACTGCATTGGTACCAGTAGCAGCGCATCAGCATTGCTTGAGCTTGTTTGCTGCAAACCACTACTGGGCGATGCTGGGGATTTTGCAAGTGCCCCCGGCGGATTGGCAAGGAGCGGTGGAAGCCAGGATGCTGTGGTTCTCTGTGTCGATTCTCCTCGAACTCCGGCGGCCCTCAAAACACTCTGAATGCGCGCAGCAGCTGGGCTTCCGAATTCGACCGAATTTTGCAGTGAATGACAGCTGGGCTCCGGGATATGCTGTCGCTGACCTCCCGGTCTAGGTGCGCAGCTGCGAAGCGCTTTCCGCGCCGCTGTTGTGCCTGTGCCTCAGGAAGTACTGGCAGCAAGTGAATTGACCCAGCTTGGGATTAGGGGCCTTGGCATTTGATGGGGAAGGACCGCCTATGAGGTTAAGGTGCAGTTCGCACTTTCATGTCATTTTGCCACCTGAGCAGGTTTTATGAATGTTAGGATCGCACTGTTTCTTGGGGTTCCGGCGAAACACCAGGCTTTCTGGAGGCTAGGACTCAGTGGCTGCTCCATGTGCGAGGTCGTAGTACGCTGCATCGAGGACTGCGGGAAGCGACCCTGTCCTTAAGCTCCCGGAGGAATGTAGTTAATTGCTCGTACTTTGTGTGCCAGATCGTCTGACAAAAACTTGGAGAAGTGCATCAGGACGTGCCAGGGGGAGAGAGCATTCGAGAGCTTCGGAAGCTGCGCCCTGAGTTTGCTTGTCAGCTTAACGGACGGCGTCCGGCAAGTGGAAGTCGCATTCGATGTTGAAGAGAACTCTTTTCATCTGGCCAACGGACTTGCTGAAGCCGAAGCAGCAGAGGCATGGGCCAAAGACTCACCCTCAAACCTCAATGCACGTCCTGAACCCTGAAAGCCTTTCTATGACTCGCTAACCGCTAACCTTGATGAATGATCCATGTGGTAAATAGGAAAGTCGGCAGCATGGCAGCTCCGGAGCTTCTTCGCACACACAGTGACCTCAGAGCGAAGCAGAGCCCGTCCGAAGGTTTCGGACCACCACGGAGGGGAGGCAGCCATCTGAGTCTTTTTGTCATGACTTGGCATGAAGTCGCTAAACTGGGGTCGACGGCCTGGCAAGTACAGGGAAATTCGGTCCTGTTCGAAAGAGCTGGTTTGAACTGGAGGTGTTCCCTGCGCTTCCTGTAGAGAACATCCCGATGGCGGCGTAGTCACATTGTGTGACTTTTTTCGGTTGTTGGGGTTCGTGCCCAATCTCGGCTGATGCTCATGATGCTCAGTGGCTGTGAACTTGAAGGAACGACGCGTCGCCACGGTATCTTGAGGGGTATAGAGGCGCAAATCCTTGGATCAGTCCATGTTCTGCACGCATCCCCATATCACACCCTGAGAGTCTCGTCGTTGCTTGGGCTCCGCGCTTAAACGTTATGCTAGGTCCGTGGATGTGGGCGTCAGGGCTGGAGAGTGCCGGCCATTCAGCTGGATACAGGCCACAGGGTTTGCAGGCTTCGGTGTTCTAAGTTTTGTTGTGGGGAGCAACGAAGCGCCTTTGCCCAAAGCCGTGTATTCCGTGTATGGATGCTGCTGTGAGAAGAGTTGCGAGCCAGAGGCAGAAAGCTTCTAAACACCACTATATAGGCTTCAATGAAGTCGCCCGACATTGCCATTTCCTGAATTGCTCTGGGAGGCTGCGCCGCCTGGTGCCCACATGGGGCGTGCCATGGAGGTGGAAGGCTTGTACGCAGAGGAGCCGGTTCCTGGCATTGAGTCAAGAAGCGAGCTGGAATGACAAAAACAAGAACAAGTGGCCTGTGTCAAACCGTTGATAGGGATCCCAGTGACCCAATCTTGCAGATGACAGCGTTTCGATCTGCTTTGAGTTTCGTGGCGACTGAGCAGGATTTGTTTGATGCCCTACAATGGGCCCCGCAGGCAGAGTGCTGGTCCGGGCTGCAAAAAAGTCGTTGTGTGTCGGGTGCATCTGATCGGATCGCAGAGAGCTGTTGATGGATCGTTTGAGCCAGTTTTCTGTCAGTCTTGTAAAGTTATCGTGTGCCCGCAAATTGCGAAATTACGTTTCCTAGATTTGACTATGCCATGATGCTTTCAAGCCCAACTTGAACACTTCGTCAGCTTGTGCAGGCAGTCGCGGCCGCTGCCATGATTGGTCAACAGGAGGAGGATGGTCCAATTTTGCACAGCCCACAATCTGCCGTGTTTGCAATTGAACAACATCCACGAAGCCCCGGGATTCTGCCTTTGCACAATTGTTTCCCATCCCGTGGCAGGAAAACGAAAGGATTCAGACTACTGAAGGTACTCGCACCCTTCCGTTGCACCGGGCTTGCAGCTTGTGAGAATTGCACAGGGCTTGGTGGCCGGGTTCGTTCAGCCTTTAAATTGGCCTGATTTGATCATGCTTCTTTCATCCTAGTGCAGCTTCTCATTCCTCTGACCGCGCCGCCGCAGACTTTGGGTTTTCACGTTGGAAGACTTCAGAATGCAACAAACAAAGGGTTGCAGGAGTTGGTGCGGATATTTTCTTGAGGCCTGAGGCCTCGGCATAGTATTAGAGCTAGAAAGCTCATACCAGCAGGAGCAGAAGTAGTCTCGTTGTGCGTGAAACGTAGTGGATCTTTGAGATTGTGCCTTGCAGAGCCCTGACATTTGCAAGATGTTTTGCCGAGATGGTCCGCACCTCGGGAGTTTCTACGGGATCTCAGCTGGCTATAATCACAGGCAGTGGTGTGAAGCTTGAAGAGGGTAAAGGTTTAGCCGAGGGTGGTTCCATGCTGTCGTGCTGACTTCTGCTCATTTGCTACGCTTAAGCCAAAAGGGCTCGAGCCTGGCGAGTGCAGCATGGAAACCGAGAGGCCTAGAAGAAAAGGAAGGCGGAGCCGTTCTAGGCGGAGTCGAAGTCGCGAGAGAGACGAGAGCTGGAGCCTGGGCAACCAGAGTCGCCCTGTGGCCACCGCCGGCCGCGGGCGTAGTCACTGGGAGATGCCGAACCGCTGGAGCCGCGAGAAGCCAAAGGAAGAGACGTGGCCCACTGGAGCCGAGACGGCTTCGAGACAGAATCGGTGGAATCAGGACAGAGACAGAGACTGGGAAGGCAGGGGCCGAGACAGCTCATGGCATGGTTCCGGCAGCAGGGATTCCTCGCTGCAGCCCCTGCCGCGTCCGGGCTACGACCGTGACAGGCGCCTGGTGCAGCTCGACGACGACCCTCGCTACTTCCCGGGCGCCGAGCTGGGAAAGGCACAGAAGGCTGCGATGGGGATAAAGGGGATGCACGGGCGCAACACAGCATCCTTCGACCCACGTTCGACACTAGTGCGACCCGCCATGCGTGTCATCTACGGCAGAAAGGGGCATGAGTTTGGGGGCAGCACCAAGCCTGACGACGTCGTGGTCGTGCCAGAGCTGCTCTGCGACGCAGGCGACCTTGGAATTCTGAATCGAGTGGTTGCCGAGCTGGCGCCTACTAAAGGTCAAGTCGACCCCAGCGAGGTGCCAGCAGTGAAGAGCCTCTGTGTGCGCGTGTGCCAGTACTTCCAAGTGGATCCGGACAGCGCCTCCATCCGCGTGCGCTGGCACCGTGCCGGCAAGCAGCCCGTGGAAGTCGCATCTCCTGGGTTTCGCCCAGCGAAAGGCGCGGGAAGCTGCATGCTGAATTTATCGCTAGGCGCCACGTGCGAGCTGGCCTTCAAGCGCACGAAGACGGGGGAGATCCTATACTTCCCCCAAGCAAACGGCACCCTGATGCTGATGGGCTACGAAGTGGTTAGCAGCTGGCTCCCGGGCGAGTCCAAGCGGCCCGAGAGCGAACACGTCTCCATCACGGTGTCCGGACGAAGC